GAAACCGTCGTAAAAAATTACAATAGGATGGCCGCTCTCAGGTTTCTCTCTGGTCCTATCATAAGTGATGATCTCTCAACCGTTGAGTTGTCTGAACGCACCCTATGTTAGATGCTTATTGGTCCAAATGGTTTTGAGCTATATATATATGCAGCTATATTATCTTGTGTGCGATGGCCTTAAGATTTGTATTGGAAATGAATGTGGTTATGATATGCATCAGAGTATTATTTTTGATGAGAGAGATGTATTATAAATGTAATGGATAAGGTTTTGTGACAGAGATAGTGCGCAATATATAATTTCGGGAATGTACAGAAAAACGATAAAATGTACATGAGAGATATAAGTGCACAATTTTATTTTTAATAATAAGTTTAATATGAAAAAAGAATATTGCGGATAAAGTGAGAGATATATATGTATATATTTTCTCTGTTTATTCTTCCCCTACACAATTTGTGGGTTTTCGCTCACATATAGATATTTTCGAATTGTTCGTTTTTTGAAAATATCATGCATTCCAACATATTGTTTAACAACTTCAGTGGTTATTTTTATCAGTCTTGAGACGTTTTATAGAAGAAAAGTAATTTTATAATGATGTTCCAAAAGTTTTTTTACAACATAAATAATCTGCAGTTATTTCGTATTACGATACTCGACATTTACTAATTATTTTATGTCTACACACCTCTGTGATCATATAATTAATCATTTTATATGGTGATACTTTTATGGAAAGCTAATGTGTGGAGCTCATTCTACGATACAAAAAATGGTAGAAAAGGTACCTCTGCGGAAAGCTATTTCTCGGTTGGACTTTCCGGCAGTTGCAGCCTTTGGCAATCCTTTGCTAGACATATTTGTAATACTGAAAAATGATGACTTACTTAAAAAATATAATCTTGAAAGTGACGGTGAAAGAGAATTATGTGAAGAGAAAATGCAGGAATTAATTGCTGATTTACCACAGTGAATAAATTATGTTTGTTATATGTTTGTTAGAGTATGTTTTAATGTGTTTGCATTGTATTTTAATTTTTTAAAAATCCAATTTTAATTTATGTACATATTACTGTATAAAGATTGTTCTATACATTCAAAAAATTTGATGTATTAAAGATGAATGAGTTATAAATAAAAATGTATTGAAAATAAACATGAATAAAAATGACTAACTTATAACATAAATGTAATGAGTTCATTATTGTTTAATAAATTATTACATGTATACAGAAGATATACAATGCAAGCATTGATATTATATTAGTAAATTTTATATTTATTACAATTTCACTTATAGAATAATATAAAAATATTTACACATGTATTGTGTGTTTGAGAATTGACACATTAGTTAATAATTTGTCTTTCTTAATAAAATAATATATTAAATTTTTATTTTTTTTAGTACAGAACAAAGTACTTTTCCTGGAGGATCCGCACAAAATACCATGAGGATCTTACAGTGGCTTTGTGACGATTCTCATGAATCTCAAGTAACCAGTTTTTATGGTGGTCTCGGAAATGATCAGAAGGGTTCGATTTTAGAGAAATTAGTTCGAATTGCTGGAGTGGATGTAAGGTTTGTAGGTAAAATGTAAAGCTATATATATGCACAACCATACAAAGTTCTTTGTAATATTTGATTGATTTATTTTCTGGTAAAGGTATGCCATACATCCAGCTTTACCTACTGGATTATGTGTTTCGTTAGTGCACGACACATCCCGCAGTCTTGTTGCAAATATTGGTGCAGCTAGTGTGTATACGTTGGATGATCTGAAGAAGGCTAATCTACGTTTAGATAGCATTAAAATAATTTATATCGAAGGATATTTTATAACTCACGGCCTGGATGTCGCTAAAGAATTAGTTAAGCAAGCGCAAGAAAAGAATATTATTATAGCATTCAATCTTAGTGGTTTATATATATTTCAGGTACTGACTATAAAATTAATATATTGTGTAATATTAACATGCTCAACAAGTTATATAATAATATCGATTTTTAATGTGTTTAAATAATATATGTTATATATATATATTTTTTTTTTTTCTTTTTTGATATTAATTTCCGAAGGAACATCAAGCGGCTGTGTGCGAGATGGTTGGCTATGCCAAAATCGTATTCGGCAACGCGAGAGAAATGATAGCGCTAGCACAAGCATTGAATGTGAAATATGATGATGTCACTGACATACCCTTTTTACTTAACAGTTTAAAGAGAATTACAGTGGACGTTTCTAGCGCCAACAGCAAGGATTGGTTGGCTGACGACGGTATATTCATCATGACGCGTGGTGGATCCGCACCGTCAATCATTGTTTGGGGCAAAGGACATTCCGTTCAGGTTAGATTTAATCAAAAGAATATATATATAAGGTCGATAGCAAATCATTTCTCGCACTTTTTGTTTGTTTTAATTTTCGTTCAGGTACCACCTGTTCCACCGAAAGCACCTATTACGGACACCACAGGCGCTGGGGACGCTTTGGTGGCCGGTTTTCTAGCCGGCGTTTTAGCTCGCTGGGATCCGAAGAGCTGCTTAGAATTAGGATGCAAAGTCGCGTCTTATATGATTACCAGACTCGGCGTTACGTTACCGAGCAGCGTACCTTCTGATCTATTGCTATAATGTGATTTGATCTCCTTAGAAGATTAATGACTGATCGTTACCTGATGTACCAATGTATAATTATACGATTATTTATTATTCCTTTTAAGTTTGTTTTATTAGGAAATTATATATATATATATATATATATGTATATATGTAATGTATATTCGTGTGTATAAAATTATTAAATATATAAAATTATATATTTTATAATTTTATATATTTACATATATACTATATAATTTTCTATATATAATTATATTGGGACCGTTAGAGAGATATATATTCAAAGTGTTATTGTTCATGTTTATTAAATAGTTGTTTCAGTGGAATATAGTAGATGCGTTTATGGCACACGTGTGTGGTATATTGTAAATTAATATATAATATTTGTGAGAGATTTCTTTATCAAATATTATTCTACCGTGTTATTTGTATTGTGCGGTTGTCAACGCACAACGCTTCTGACATATCTGCATAAACGTTTTCTCGTCCTTTATATTTTTTTATGTTATAAAGTGACAGAATTTGTGTCGTATATATGTGTGTATATGTGTGTAACAAAGCCTACGTTCCGATATTCACTGCCAGTACTGAAAATCTATAGCATATGTGTTGTGAATAGATTTTTAGTACCGGGGGTCGATTCTGTATCTATGCAATGTAGTAAAAATTACAAAAGTGAGCAAATTTACTATTTGTTGACCAATAAGATCGTAGATATTTTATTGAATTCGCTCACTTTTGTAATTTTCACTACACTGCGTGATACTAGAGAGAAGACTGAGGCTGTGTTCCGTTTCACGCATATGCGCGCATTGATCTATAGTACACGTGACGTATAGTATAGAGAAATGGGCGTATGTGCGTGAAACGGAACGCAGTTTGAGAGCGACCATCCTGTTGTAGTTTTTTAGAACGGTTTTAGCGCCATATCTACAAAAGTGAATCTCCGAGGCCGTTCTACATTTAACGCAAGTAGCAGATCTCGTGGAATTGACCAATCGCAGAGTCATCATAGGACGACATTTTCTCAAATGTAAGCGTACTTAAGAATGCGTACAAAAGAATACTGGCCTGTGATTGATTGATTTCCTTAAGACTTACAGCTCAAGTTTTTTCATGTGTTTCCGGTTTAACAAAGTCAATGTCACGCAGATACTTTAAGAGGTTATGTTGTATCTTTAATATTTTGCAAGTATTATTTTCACGAAAAAACTACCGAGTATAAGTAAGTGTCTCTTCTTAACACATTCTCATTTTCTCATGGGATTTATCGACGATGAATTACAAGAAGTATCCAAGCTTTGTCACAATGTCGTTGATGGTAGTCGCCTCGTTTCTTGCGTGCCAAGCATGGTCCGCGTCGAAATAACGTAAGAAAGCTCTTTACGTCGCGCTTTTATTATAATCTTGTAATTGCTCTCTATTGTCTTACGATTTATTTGTTTTTCAGAAAGACAGTATTTAAGCAGCTTGTTGTGTGCATTCAATTTCGAGAGGATTATCCTGCGTCACCGCTGTTTATAGAATTGAAGAGTAAAACTCTGTCTACAAAGTTGCTCGATAGACTAGCAAATGTCTGTGAGAAGGAATGCAAACTTCTTATAAACAAGGCACAGGTGTTTATACTTCGGAGATGCTGTGTTTTGCCTTCCAAATGAATATGTGTTATTCTCATAACACATATTATTATAACATATATTGATATTTTTTGTATTTACAGATATTACCTATTTTAAAGTTCATTAGAAGTTATATTGAAGAAAATCCTCTCATCTGTTGCTATGATGAAATAAGTGCTTTGAAAAAACTTGTGGGAAATAAAGACGAATTAAAGTTAAAACAAAAGAATTCCTCTATCACTCTGACACTACATCAAGACTTATATTACTTTAAAACCAGATTAGAAGTGCCAGATAATTATCCCATCAGTTGTGTGGTGTATGTTTGAATTTGTAAAATTATTGTAAAGCAAATTGCAGTCCAATGTAGCTTATTTAAATTCAATATTTGTAGGTTGAGTGATGTTGATACTAATTTCCCACCATTATTCAAACGTTATCTAATTGGACAAGGAAAAGAATTTGCAAGGCAATGCGTAGAATCACCATTGAAGAAAACAGCAGCACAGCAAAAGCCATTTGCACCATTGCCATCACTAAACAAAGTTACTTCTTTTCTTATAAAGTAATAGTTATTCTTACACTTTATCTTTAATCTAAACATAAGTAATATTTAATTATGTATAATTTTTTATATTCAGAACTGTAAAAGCTTTTCCGCAAGAACCTTGTCAACACTGCAAAGTGACGTGCTTGCCTGCAAATCCAGAAGAGATTGTAACAGACGAAAATGCAGATCTGCATGCCGAGAGGCTTTACTGTGGTCATCTTTTCCACCTGAAATGTCTCGTAACATACATGAAGACTCCGCCATTCCATGGTAAAATTTTTATTTAAATGTTACATTATGTTATGAAAAAGCCATAAAATGACCTTTTTTTTTAAGGAGGTAAGAAATGTCCGGGTTGCGGACAACGCGTATATCATGACAAATGGGGATTAACTGATAAACTAGCCGAGGCTCGCTGGGCTCATCAACAGGCACGAGCGAGGGAGTTGGCAGAAGTTGAAGATTTTTTCAACTAAAACTCCACAAGTCTGTGTAGTGAATTTCACAGTAAAAAAAAAAGTATTGAAAGTACGATCTTATAAAAAATCAGAGTATATGAAGTAAGACTGCATTTTGAATAGATAACATAAGAAAAACTCGAAAAGAAAAAAATGTTTCAAGAAACAAGAAAAGTACGAGTAAAAAATATGTTGTAAAACTATAATTTTTGCAATTTATAAGTTTTCTTCAAAATATACTCGTAAAAATGTTTTGGTTAAAAAATATCAGAATTATATCAAATTTCTGTTTTGAATTCAGATTGACAGATTTGCAAGAATGGGCATTAATTAGTGAATTTAAACATTTACTAAGATAACAGCGATGATTGCGTATATAGTGTGCATATATTGGCGTTGCTATAAAAGTGTTTTATATAATTTGTTTTTTTTGCACTTTTTGTAATAATAATAATAATATTATAATTATAATTATAATTAAGAGGAACAAACGAAATTACTTGTCAGCAAACATGTATATTTTGTAATATATTTTAAGTTTTGCATACGAAAAGCGAACTATACTTGTCAGTTTGCATCTGACACGTTTATGTCTGGTAACACGATTTTGGTTAATTTACCGTGTTTTTACCAAATCGACTATAAGACTAACGTAAATACATATAAGGTATTTTTATTACACATGTAAAAAATAAACATGATTGTTCGATTTTCAATTCCGTACGATTATATAAAAGTATCATTTTTTCTCTTTGCGCAAACGTGATAAATTCTTCCAGATATCTTTATTATATTATCTTTTATTATCACATGTCGAGATGCAAAAATAATTTCGACCAACGAGAATTAAACGCATTCTATTGCAGAAGGCTATAATAATATAGAACTATGTTCTTTCTAAAAAGAAGTTAGTAAATAATATCTTTAAAAATAATCGACTCTCTTTGTGGGATTCTCTCTCTTAGAATTAAGAAAAGTATTTTTTTATTTCTAATGGCGCGCTAAAAGAAAAAAAAATGAACTCATTGAGAAATCTATCACGATATGAGTAGGAGGCTTATCTTGTGTAAATTGCATTAATGCACAAATATCGCGGAAGTACGTATCATAGATCTAATTTTAATGAAAAGCGGTCGAGCGTAAAAATAAAAAATAGACTGTCTGTTTTATATGTGGGCATTTTACAATATACTTTCTAGAAATATATATACTCTCTTCTCTTGATCACAATCAGATATCACGCATTAAGTAAAAGACGAGTTATTTGATGGTGCGTATTGACACACAATTGAAATGAGCAAGAAATTATCTTAGAGATAATGGCCAGTACGGGTGCAGCTTCGCATATATGTATACACGAATAGTTGTGACCGTATTTGTGATATATTGATCCTCGGTACCGACTATAGTGATATTCTCTCCATCTCCCTTTCCCTCGGGCTAGCCCTATGAGCACATTTTCGTTTGTTCTGCCACGTTTACTTTGCCACCCCTCTTCTAACAACTAGCGTGTTCTCTTACATATGTGTTCATCATGGATACAGCACTTCTAGGTGCGCATATGGTGTATTTGGGCAAGCAAGAGAAAGAGAGACAGAGAAAAATGCATAAAATATGCAATATTTCGACGTGCTTTATATCGGAAACTGTTTCTGATTTCACTTAGGTTCAGATATTTAGCACAACAACTGACAAAAAAATGAGACGTATTTTTGTACGCGATGATGCACGATTAATTAGAAATTTAAGTAGTTTTCCCCCAAAAATTAACATTCTACCTGAATATTGCTAAGAATTATATACTTTGTGTAAAGTGATTTGAATAAAACTGCATGCTACCTAAACGAATATTTTACGATGAGATATATTGACGATGAAGAAATCCTCTCTACACTGATTCATTTGATTTTTGCACAAAAAACTTTTTCTAGAAATTAACTTTTCTTAGGAATTCAATTTTTGTATCGGTAGTGGCAAATAGATCATTCAAGCGATAACAGAGAAGTGTCACCTGTATACACTGCTCTTTTAAAGACGCTCGACCAAAGTTTTTTTTTTCCCGTCGTGCATGTTCGCATTTAGTTCTGGAAGAGACAACCAGGCAAACCTGACAAACTAATTCCCAGTTATCGATTCTACACATACGTGGAAACGTTCATGTCGCACTCATATAGGGCGGACTCTCACGGATCGTTCCTGATCAAAAACACATCATCATCGCATCGTGTGACGAGAAATACGAAAATCTGACATTTCGTGATCTTGTGAGTAAAACGATCGATCGCGGATTGATTATCCGGAAAGACACGAAGTATATAGGAAAGTTTATTAAACACGAACGTTCTTGCGCTGAAAGATTCCGAGTCGATTTCTGGGTCGATAGGCACGTCGGAAAAGAGAACAACGACCACAATTTCACATATCACGTGCAATTTCATTATTGCAGCGACGTTATTAATGCGCGATTGTACTCGCATTAGGGTCGATTCCGGCGTACGTGTTTGAAAACGTTTTACTGTCTACGGGTTTTGCAAACGATTGCGAGGGGTTTCTCCTCGGTGTGTGCACCTGGAGTCGTTCACACCGATTTATCTCGCGCTAAGAATAGCCCGGCTTTCTTTTCCATGCGGCGATGTTATTAATATAACATACAACATATCTTTTTTAATGTCACTGTTTAGATCTTTCTCGTATGTTAATGTCATTATCGCGAACACTTCAAAGTTTTATTGAAGACTCGCTATCGATTTTATAACCGTATCATTTGAAATAAGGAAAAATGCGATATATAAAAATCAATGCGAGCTAACTTGCGGATTGTAATCAAAAGAATTGACAAGCTTCAATTAAAAGTTCTAATTAATTGGATCAATTCCAATTTGGATCATCTTCTGATTTTAAATTTGATTAGATTTATGATAGATGTGATAATAGACGATATAAAATACGATTAATCTTGTGAGTCTGAAAAACAATACAAATTTCTCAAAAATCCTCTCTCGGTTGTACAAAAACAATAATCTTGGTTCTTGAAGTGAAGTCGTTGCGTATAATATATGATACATCTATAATTGCACACACACACACACACACACACATGGAGCAGCTTTGTCGTAACACTTCGTGAATCGATAGCCGGGAAATGGCCGGAAGCCAAGTCCGACGACGTCGTTTCGAGTTTTGCCGTTGTCACAGTACACGAGGACTAACCCCTTTCGCTGCGGGTGTCCCACTTTTGTATCAATCACTTCTCGATGTATAGAATTTTTTTTTTGCTTTTCTCGTAACTATTATAAAAAAAAACCGATAAGATCGATATTGTCAAAAAAATATATATATATATATATCAATACCAATTTGTACGATTAAAAGCGATTAAAATATAATAAAAGTGCGAATTTCGAAAGCGAAAAAAAAATGACAAGATAATACACTAAGGCTGCTGTCCTTTCAGGAGACACAGTCGACGCAAGTCGACACAAAAGTCATTCTGTCTTCGTTTGGTATTCAGTGAGAAACAAAGACGGAATGACTCTTGTGTCGACTTGTGTCGACTGTGTCTCCTAAAAGGAAAGCAGCCTAAAAGAAATATTACGTACATAATTAAATTTGAAAATCGACAAATGTGTAAAAAAATAAAAGACGAAAGCAGACATTGTGGCACGCGCCACTCTGAAGATGTGAGCGGAAAGCATCCCTTATTTTTGAAAGATCAGCCAGGTGGCACAAGAATTCATGCATTTTCATCTATATTCGGAGGAAATGATCTCAGAATAAACGGTGTAACACGTATGTCGTAAATAAACGCATAAAGACAGCTGTTTTTAAAAAATTTTCTCAATACAACGATCTATTTCGTAGAATCAAGATTTCTATAGCGCGCAGGAATTTGCGAAAAAATTCTACGATAAAAAGTAGGTATCCTGACATAAGAAGAATCAAATTCGAAAACATACGATTTTTGCAATGAGAACACTTCCGTCTCCGCTTGTCTAGTGTTTACAATTATTCTTGAATTGAAATGGAAAAAAAAAAAAAAGTATACGGTCTATTTCGCTTCGCAAATATACGGAAGAGAAGGAAGCAATCTAGAATTTCTTCACGCATGAAGGTTAATCGCAAGTAGAGGGCGAGGAGACACCACACGCGGAAGAGAAAAAGAGTAGTGAAAAGAGGGGACGTTTAAAAGAGGGAGAAAGGAGGTCCACGTAGGTCGCGGGGTTCCACAACAACAAGTTGCAACCACCTGGCGAGAATGATGCCGGCCACTGGATGGCCTCACCAGGTGCTCCTCCTGCGAAACCCGCTATTTTTCGTATGCCTGCTGGCCAACGACGACGCCGACGCCGCTGCAGCGGGGATGAACACGAAGACAATACGAGCTGCCGGGATCTCAGAGAGAGCGCAAGGCGTACTATACGATATCGCGTTTGTTCGGGGACACACGTACGCGAATTGACCATGTCCCGAAATCGATACGCACATCTGCCGCAACGGAGAGTCTATTGACTCTCTTCGGCAGGGGAATAAGGCGGCGCGCGATAATCCCAATGCGAATTTTGGAAACCCAAAATTAGTCTGGAGATGCAATCGTTAATAACAATATGTGTCACAGTTGTACGGAAATATATACGTGGGAAATGTTTTGCGGAGTGTCTAAAACTTTTAAAAACACCTTATCGGTTTGGAAAAGCACACTCTGGGTGTTTTTATACACTTTGCTAGCATTACGTGAGACAGAGGATTATTAGAGATTTATAGAGAGAAAGAAAACGAGAAATAAATAAGATTAAGGTAATTGTCAGACGTAATAAATAATTTATATGTACAGATATTAATAATTTACTACTTGCGTATTTTTTATGCGTACTAGTACTGTGTAAAAATATAGCACAGATAATATAATTTGTAGGTATATTCTTATATTAATCGTATTAGCTTCTGCATGATGATTTATTGAAAACATATCCGAGATCTCAATCAAATTAGACGCAAATGTGTCAACGATGTGTAAACAAAAAAATATTCTATTCATCAGGAGCACGTGCACACACGTCACCGTTAAAATGCAGTCGTATTGCATTTCTCGGCATTCTCTCTGTTTCCCTCATGCGGGATTGCTATAGTTTCAGGAAATTCTATCGGCACGCCTATTATGCATATTCACGTGCGTGCGATAAAAATGAAAAGACAAACTTTTCCGCAAACTCTGGACTTCACTGTGGCTACATATATTATTTTTTATAACCCGCATATATGCATGTTCCATCTTATATATATATATAACTAAGACTGTTATATTTTATACTTCAATCATGTCTACACAAAACCACGTAGAGTGATTTTGAAATCTTTTAAGAAAAATATATGAGGATACAAATCCTTGTTGTGATCACACATCCTCATAGATCCACTTTCAATTTGAGAAATGGAATAGGGAACTCTATATTTTTTTTTTTTACAGAAAAACAATGTTCAGTAGAACGAAACAAACTCTACATTTTTTAAGAAACTAAAACCAAAATCAATGAATTCAAGAAAATTCTTTTTACAAGGATCTCGTCTCTTCCTCACACGTTCCTTCTATCCAATGCTTACGCTATCAGTCTTCTACATTAATTACTTTCAAATTTGTCTGTTATAAAAAGAAGGATGTTAAAAAATGGTCGATTTTTGCCCCCGGTGTGGCAAGTACACTTCGAGTGATTTTTTTTTATAGATTTTTGGTCGTAGAATCACTCGAATTTTACTTGCCACACCGGGGGCAAAAATCGATCACTTTTTAACACATCCTTCTTTATACATTATCAATGTAAAAATTTACTACTCGGAAACTTTTGAAGAATTATTTTCAAATAATTTTATATATTTAGAAAAATATAGTTATATATAACAAGCTAGAAAGGATATAAAAGAAAAACAATGAGTAGTAGGAAATTTCGAAATAAAATAGGACGCCCGGGGGTTTACAGTCGGGGGTAAAGTCTGTGTGACCGTGGTAGCAATGTGGCGTGTGAGCCGTGTGGCACAGGTCGCGGGGGTGCCGCGTTTCAGACGCCGCGTTGCAGGGCATCGATTTCGGCTCAGGCCGATGGCATCGACAGGCGCTCCTTCGCGGGGCCATCGCGACGTCGTCATCGTCATCGTCGTCGTCGTCGTCGTCGTCTCATTGTCGTTGTCGTTGTCGTTGTCGTTGTCGTCGTCGTCGTCGTCGTCGTTGTTGTCGTCGTCGTCGTCGTCGTTGTCGTCGTCGTCGTCGTCGTCGTCGTCGTCGTCGCGCGTCGCGGCGGCGCTGTTTCCGCCCCTACCGCCGTCGTTATCGTCGCCGTCGCCGTCGTCGACGTCGTCGTGATGGAACAGAACGAGAAAACGAGAAGAATCGCTCACTACCGCTTCCCTACGTTAGCCGGCAGCTACGCCGACTAACGGCGTCGTCGCTGTTCCGCTCGACGCACGCCGACGCCGACGCCGCCTGCGCGCGAGGCCGCGCCGCATCGTGTCGACACGGCCGGGCGGGCAGACACACACGTACGCTAGTCGAGGGCAGTCGTCGGGCTGCTCGTTGTGCGTGGTGCTGCTTAGTAGCTGGCCGTGTATTAGAGATAGCTTTGCCGCTGCTATTAGCAGTCGGCGCGAAGAAACGTTATTTCTCGATTAGTGGAGCGAGCAACACAAACGTTAAAGAGAAAAAGTGTACTCGAATAAAAATTTTGAAAAAACTTCGCAAGGGTTGCAAGGGTTGAAAAATTATAAAAAGAGATTAACGATATTGACTGATTGAAAATTGTAGAGTGTCACAAAAAGAGAATATAATTCTTCTTTAGGGGGATTCTGTTAAACTATCGCTCTAAACTGTGTGTCCAGTCGCTACTTACTCGGTACCATCGTGCACGAGCGGAACGCGATTACTCAATGCACCGGTGCACCACCAGCTGCAGCTGCCGCCGCCGCTACTACCGCTTCTACGGTGCTACCATTACCACCAGTGCCGCCACCACCGCCGCCGCCGCCGCCGTCGCCGCCGCCGCCGCCGCCGCCGCCGCCGCCACTGGCAAGGCCTCGCAGAGGTGTCCACCTCGTGGCAGCCGACACTTCCTACCGGACGGTGGTAGTGTCCAAGCGCGCCGGACGACGTGCACGGGCTGCAGTAATACGTTTTGGGACAGAAAGGGTGGTGGAGGAAAAGTGTCGATGGCGCTTGGTAATCACTCCGCGTCGTGTAAGCGAGGGTGGTAGACGAGCTCCGAGTAGAGAGAGCATAGAGAGGGGTGCCAAAAGAAACGAAGGAGGAACCCTTCGTTCCTGTCTTCTTCGTTCCTGTCACCGCTAATACAGACCGCGCATTTTTTCTTTAGAGGGTTTCTTCTCTCCGACGCGCGGCGCGGATATAATACGTGTATCCCTCGAGGCCTTCATTCTCAGCGTCACGTCACGCGCTGCAACGTGTGTCACGTGAAAGGAGCAGCGGCGCGCCAGGGTCGTCGTCCCGACAGCAGGCAGAACAAGACCCTTCGCTACAAGCGGACTATTCATTAAGTTGTATGCCGTCGTCTCACGAAGGGTAATTTATGTATATTTCGCAGAAAATATAGTTCCTCGACAGCGACGGAAGAGTAATCGCGAATTTGAAATCAGAATTTGGAGAAGTGGACACAGCGGCTCTAGAAGGACCGAAGAGAGTAGTGATTGGTTTCGGTTTTATCGGTTAGTTGGTTGGTGTGCTGGTGGCTAGTGGTGGCTCGACTCGGACGACCCAGGTCGCGGTAATGCCTCGCAGCAGCGGTCACGTCGCCAGGTCGCACAGTGTCGCAGGCAGGGTGAGAGACTGGGCGACTGTAGATAGTACTGGCGCGGGTGTAGTCACCGGGGGCAGAACACGTTGACGAGCGCAGCCGACTCCGGTGGCACGTTGCTGGCCACCGTCGTCGTCGCTGCATTTGCAGGCCATGTATCAAGGCGAGCCGGCGATCGACCGTGCCGGCGATCCGCGCCGGGCGAGATCACTGCGTCGACGTAGCGCGGCCGCCGACCTGTCCGAGGACACCGACGGCGAGGAGGAGCCTTACGGAGAAGGAGAGGCCTACGTTGTTCTCGATGTACAACTCCGACCGTCCGACTCTACGACGAGGGTGCGCCGTAACGGCGACTCCCAGAAGAGGCCGGGCAGAAGACGGCGCGGTTCGCGAACGGCGCTCAGGATATTTCTCGTCACCGCCGCCGCTGCCTTCCTCACGTTCGCCGTCTCACCAGGTATGATAAGCTTAATATGATATATATATATATATACACACATATATATATATATATATATATACATATAGAAAATGAGAATGGAACGGTGCTGTAACTTTACAGAAAACAATCGTCTTGTGTGAGAAAAAACGACTTGCCAATCGATTTGAGGAAAATCGGAGCTCACAAGGGTCACACAATCATATTTCAGAAATTCAAATCTTAAGAGATATGAAAAAGACATGAATATTGCGCGCGTTACAATAGAGAAATCAGAAGTTTTTTATTTTTCTTTCATACAACGTCTAAGAAAAATCTTGTTTTTCTTCTCACATTTCGTCCCTCCGTTTTATTCCGTCACGCGAAATAGGCACCGTCTCTTTTTCGTGACTTAGAAGATAAAAGTTCCCACTGGTATATCGATCGAATAATTTTTCTGATCAAAGATAATTCGATCTTTTCTATTATTCGTTATTTCTTATTTGTCCCACTCTCTATGTTAAATAGACAATGCAATGGACTATTCGTCTTATTTCGGCAGCGTATAGCTGTGCATCATGGAAAGAAGTTTTGTAAAAGAATAATAGAATCATATTTGAGATTTTCGTAAGAATTCGTAACTTTGTTGCAAAATTTCTCAGATACGGAGAAGTACTTGCGCTGCTCCCCAAGAGAGACATTATTCACGCATTAGCCGATTGGGTGTGTCGCTCGTTCGATTTGTCAGAGATTCCTCAACGTGGGAGTAATCTTTAAAGCCGATTTCTCTGTCGACGTACGATTTGCAGGATCGAATTGAATTGAATCGAAACCGTTTGTGCAAATCGCGTGATCGGCGAGTTAAACTGTCGCGAATTTATCCAATCAAATTTTTGCAACCGATGAGTTTGGATCCACAATTGAAAAACTAACAAGAATTCGAGATGTGCATCTGGATTTCCAAATGAAAATTTGCAGCAAATACAATCACTCTAGAGGGATAAGAAGAGGAGATCTGTTATATCGAAGCTGCGCTTTAATAACGTCGGGGGTTCGGCAAAAGAGATTCCGATCCGTACCGAAAAAATAAATATTTTGCGATGGGCTGTTTCTGCCTGCAACGTGTCACATGCGTGAGTATGCGGCACGTGTATTGTTAAAACATTGAGATGGATTCGCGAGATTCATTCGCTTCTCTCTCTCTCTCTCTCTCTCTCTCTCTTTCTCTCTCTTTCTTTCTCTCTTTCCCTCCTTCCTCGAGGAGTCCCATATTCACGTCCATAATTTTGGTTAATATTGAATTAATTCTACTTTTGTGATTTAATTCTCTTTTGACTCTTAAAGACATGATTTTATTTATTTGGTCGAATATTATCCGATCTATAGCTTTTTTTTTATTGATTTTCTAAGTTTGACTATTGTAGCGTACTGTCATTGTTATATCGTATGATATTGAGAGAGATCTTATAAAAAAAGAATTTAAACCTGTGTCTATCTTTTATGAAAACTAAAGTTTAAAGAAAATAGTTTTACAAAACATTCGGTAACAGTTAGCTTATATTGATCTTTAATTTATCTATTTTAATAAAAGAGTAATATGATTCAATTTTCAAGCCATTGTAAACAATAGAATATCTTCAGACAGTTTTGTGATAAAATAGCTCCAGACAATTTTGTGCTATCTCTAACAATTGATTCTGGCCTTGAAATAAGAAATGCATACGTGACGCATTGCGTCAAAATTCGATCGTGTGTCTGTGAGACGTAGTTCGTATCTCGATTTTTATAGATTTAGAAGAAAGAGAGAGAAGAAAAAGGTCGTAAAAGTTGAATAATGTGTACTTTTCGAAAAAAAAGCCGCATTAAATGTTAAACAAATAAGTTTGTTTTATATAAGACATTAGTGATAAAATTGAACGTTAGTTTACTATAGATCAGTGTTAATATCGTAAAAGTAAATTTAATACAGTATATGCATCTGCGATACTTATCAGAAAGAAGACAGAGAGAGAGAGAGAGAGAGAGAGAGAGAGAGAGAGAGAGAGAGAGAGAGGGAGCGAGAGTAGGAAAAATCTTGACGTATTTCTTTTGCACTTTTCTCAGAAATTAAAATAAATTGTCATTATATTGGATTGCTAAATCATTGTGGCGTGATTGAATATAAACGACAGTAGCGTTTCATGCACACAATACATGTGTGTGTGTGTGCGTGTGCCATATTTATTGGCTATAAATTACTCAGTTAGTCCGCAATTTGCCACCCGTGAGCTTAATGATACAACGTCATATAAATTACGAAATGGTCTCAGCTTCTTGCGCTCTACCGACGCGTGAAACCGATTTACATTCTATAATGATTCATAATTGACAATTCGCAAGTCACATGGATCACTTCCAGATAGTGCAAATTAACAAATTCTTTTCACTTAACTAGCACATGATTTATTCGATTCTATTTTATTCTTTTTATTTTAAAACAAATTTAAATAGATAAACTCATTTTTATCTCGTGAAAAAAATGAGAGATTAGAGCGTCATCAGGTGAAAGTTTTTTGACAACAAGGATATTATTAGGAATCTTCGTTCGATCACATTAATTGTACTCCCTCAACGTCGCCGTTCGGTCGCATCGCTCTCTTCTAGTTATATTCCAACGCATAAATATCGTCGCGAGACGACAATCAAAGAGAACGTCGTGGAGCAATGCCGTAAGGGAGATGCGCATTACTCCTACCTGGTGCGTCATTAAAACGTCGTCGATGCACTTAAAATGTGAGTAAGAACTTTCCTCTCCATCTTCGTAGCATCGGCGTGTCAACTCTCCCTCGTCTCTTCCGCTCTCATCCATTCTCCATATTTCTTCCTTTCTCGCTCTCTCTTTCTTTCCGAATCTCTTCTATTTTCTCGCGTTGTCTCTCTCATGAATTCGTGTTTTGCTCGCTCGATCTGTTGAAACGTGGCGCCTACGTGTGGTCCATAGACATCGTCAAGCCGCACCCACGCACGCTATTTATCTCGTCGTCTGCCGAAGTTGAGTGCCAAGAGAATATTTTTTCGCAAACTGTCTCTTGGTTATTCTCTCTCTCTCTCTCTCTCTTTCTCTCTCCCTCCATCGTTTGGGACTCCCGGATTTTCCCTGATCGCCCTTCTACACCTACGCTCCTAACGTTCTCACTTGTGTAACGAGGAAGCGCAGATGACGGAACATGCGACGGAATTGTATCAAAAACATAACGGTATGTGATGCTGCTTTTTAAATATAGATCCTTTCTAAGACCTATCTATCGGACGTGGCATCGACCGTCCTATCTATCTATCAACCGAAACTAGTGCAATTGTAAGAGGAAGAAAAGAAGAGGAAAAAATACGTTTCATTAAGTAAAAATGAAAGAAAAGCAATTTTTATCCTGCAATTTTTTAAGTTAATTACGATTAGATTTTTTAATTAAACTGGAGGAGAAACTCACAAAGGATATAGTCGGTGGATTTTTTGGTTCTTTTTATTATCATCTTATAAAAACATCGCATGTGACCATAAATTAGCATGGCTGCCATGGTAAAGACTATCATCTCTTCATATATTCTTTCGCAAATTTATTTATGAGCTAAATCGCGAAAATAACGCCCAGCCGCCGCGTAGAGGAAAAAGCGCGTGAGTTACGCAATTAACGATTTCGCGGTGTCATTCATCTTTCCCAAAGTATCTCTGATCTTCCCCTAAAACAAGCAGACCGCTGAGTTGCAACGCAAAGATGGTCGTACAATAATCGCGACAGCCTCGAGAAAAATGACGCTCATAAAACTGCGTTTCTTGCAATTTCATTTCTAGAAAACGCGACAAAGAGATCGAATGACACACGAAAATGTAAAAAAGCACAACATTTTAACGGAATCGTTGACCTTCTAACGATTTAACTTCAATGAGATGCATCAATGAAATATCTATTATCAAAAAAAAAGTACACTATCGATGCAATCTGTTCTCCGGATGACGAGGGTTGAATCAGAGAGACGCTATCCCTTTTGTTCTTGTCTCTCCGCGGGTGGCTTTCCCGATTTTACTCTGTCATAAATTAGTTCCGTACACGTCAATGGCTTTCGATTTTCAAGGAGAATCTTTTATTTGATTCAAACAAAACCGAGTTGACGCTCTTGTACTTGTTTTGCATTCGTCAAGCTTTCAAGTATTTTGCATCCTACTTTGCCCTCAAAAACAGAGAGAAAGAGAAAACATATACCTCTACACACATTGTGTGAAAATATTAATTAATATAATATAATATATATTAATTAATATAATAATTCAAAACATTTTGAAAGGCTTTAGAAGGAAAAATTTGGTTTTACAATATTGAGATTATTAACGTATTATTATCGTCTGAAAAAATCAATGTAATATTTTGTACTTAAAATTTCGATATGTACTCAGTAGAGAGTATTTTACACGTTTGTGTGTGACTTTGCATGCCTAAATCCACATTTGGCGGCCTTGATTCGCCTTGGCTTTGATTCACTCGTACCATTTAATTCGAAGAAATGTAGTAGTTGAAAATAGTCCGTTCGGTATATTTGGACAATGTCATTTATTCGCGAAGAAACAAGCCTTGCATAAGACAAAACTGTCGATTCTGTTCGAAATGGATGAAGTGCTGTTTGCGATCGAGTAAATTAAAAAATGTTTTCAAGAATTATCATTAATATACATACGTGTTGAACGCAGAAAAAAAAAAAAAAAACAACTTACACGTAAAACAAAACAAAGTGTAAAATCATTAACAAATATTTTTTATGTTTTCTTTTTTTTTGTTTGTGCAAAAGTAAAGAGAGAAACGTAATAATTGATTAACGTAATAATTATGACACGTGGAATGTGCTGTCGAATGTCGGATGATCGGTGTGTATGAATCTCAACGAAATCACGTATCTCTTTCTCACGTATGATGTAACATAATCAAAAAAAAAAAAAAAAATCGTACGATGCCTATTTCAACAGATAATCGTACGATGCCACGCGTTGTTCCGGCTCTCGGGTGTTCCGA